AGATAGATAGATAGACAGACAGACAGACAGACAGACAGATAGATAGATAGATAGATAGATAGATAGATAGATAGATAGATAGATAGATAGATAGACGACGCTTGACTACTTACAGCGCTTTCATTCAAAACATATTAGACTTTTTTGACACACCATCTTCCACCGCTTTCCAAATCTACAAATTTAGGTTTTAATTAACGTGGGAGTTTTTACGCCCCCACCTACACAATTTAGATCATTTAGAAGGCGGGCTTCCCGACCCTGCCTGTCAAGGCTAACCCGGATTGAGAGGGATACCACACCCCAGAAGGTAGACCGATTTACTAGAAAGAATTTCTCCTCCCTCGGGAATCGAACTCGGGTCTCCTGCATGAGACAGCGAAGTGCATAGCGTTACACCAAAGGCGTCGTTTTTGCAAATCTGTATCTAACTAATGCCTTAAAGAAGGTGTCTTTTATACTATTATAAAACCGCCAACATTAATTTCGAGTGACTGGCACTAAAATGAATAATACATGTATTTTAACTTGTAACACTAGCTATAAGAGCTTGGAAATAACTAGTTTTGCAATGAGCAAAAGCGGTACATTATAGAAAGGACTCTCATCTGAACTTACCCCGTCCCTCCCTCTCTGAACCCCCACCTCTCTTCCATAAGACCCAATCACACTCGTTTGGTGTCTTTTTTCGGGTCACGAGAAATAAAACAGCTTAGAACACCCAACTAAATCAGCAGCATAATTAGACGTCAGACAAATGTTCACAGGAAATATTATATATGAGAATGAGAGAGCAGCTATTGTGTGGTGCTTATAAACAGAATAGACTTAAGACGCCTGCAGCATAAGACGTCATAATTATTATTCCGGAAGGGCACGGTATCAGAGCATCGAACTTTCGACAAAAAAGATCTATCTAACCAAAGCGGTGCACCTTTAAAGCCGCCCACATTTTAGTGATATTTGTATATTATTATTATTTGTTTATCGATGACCAAAACCAGCACAAACCAATAAAGTGTTAACATATATAATTCGTTCAGTGGTGGTGTTACAACTCACCACTTATAAGAGTAATGATCATTTTTAGTACGGTCACTGCACTCCTAAGGCTCAATATGAGGAACAAAAAACCTAAAGTAATGTCAATACAAGACGCAAAAAATGTCGCAAATTTGAAAACCAGTTTTATATTCACAGGACACGAACACAGATCACTCAGTTTGTCAATTGACTCACTTGGAAAATAGTTGTCGAGACACTTCATTTTATGGAAATAGTAAGGAGCAATTTTTGTCTTGGAGAATTTAACGGCTGGTTGGTATTGCCACTGTATCGATACCGTTAAAAATAAGTGTAAGGTTCTGATAGTGCCCGGCTTTGATATAATATTATAATAATAT